TAAATCAGATATTTTTCCTTGTTAATTTTAACCAAAAAATAGAAATTTCGTATATGGATTAAAAGCAATTTTGTGATATATTTTTCTTAGTGCACATATAGTAAGCCATCTGAACTCTCACCGAAAAAATGCCATCAGTTCCTTGGATACGCGGCCTTCTTTTCATATATATATTCATCTATATATATATATGTATATATATATATGCCTGGATTGCGTGAATCAACAATTTGTCAACTTGGCAAGCGGACGGCGACTTCTCCTTGGTGTGACATTAACTCATTGGAGACCAGGTACCCAAGAGTCCACCCACTACTCATCCACACCCCTCCCACCCAATTCACCTCTCACCTTTTAGCAGGTCGTTTAATCGATCAACGGATGGCCGCTGGCATTGAGAATTGGTTGGGGGTATCGGTGCCACCGAATTTGGTGGTTCAGATTGGTTGGGTGGGACGCCTTGAGTGGGTGGTTCCAGTGGTTGACATAGCGGTAGCCAACTGGTGTGCCTGACCCCCAAATCGATCTAACAAAGCTGTTCACGCGACAATTAATAGTCGAGAAAAAGAAATGTGTGGGGGGAGAGATATGTTGGAATAATAAAGGGAAGAGTGGCTACACCCCCCCTCTACCCAAAAATAAAGAATAATATTAAAAAAAAGAAAGGGGGGTAACGTAGGGTTATAAACTTCTCTTTATCGCAGATAGCGACGAATCCAGAACCGGTAGCTGTGATAATGGTCAGCCGTTGGCCAAAACGATTTATGGCCATCCAACGTTGGTCGTTGATGCACTGAGAAAAGATTTAAGGGAAAAGATGTAAGAGGGGCGATTCATGGAAAGAAAATGTTAGGTTTTTGACCATTTGAAAAGTTTGTAAGCTTTCCTTTTTTGTGATTTTAAAAAAGACTTCATATTTTCCTTCCTGTGTAACTAGCCACTTGGCTAGATGGCCACTTAGCCGAGCGGCAATCACGGAGCTAATGGAGCTGGCCAAGAACTAAGAACTGGCCATTGGCAATTGGCCAACCTGGACTGGCTGGTGGATAGCCACGTCGATGATGGATCGCAGTTTGAGGGGCTTTCTGGGGGCAATTTGTCGACACTTCTTCTGGTCTTCTTGAGACGATCAAGTCTTCTGGTATTCTTTTTTTTTTTTTTTTTTTGGTGGCGAGGAGATGGCAGCCGCAGGACCTCCAGCTGACATAATGATGCAGCAGTTGTGGCTGGCGGGCGGGTTCCTGCTGCAGCAGCAACTTCCAGTTGCAACTGCACTTTCGGAGTGCACTCTAAATCTCAAGTCTCGCTCTTGCTTCCTCTCCTGCGTTTCATATTTAATTTTTGTGCTTTGGTTTTACTTTCCCGCGTTGCATATGTCACATGCAATTTTGAAAGACGCCTGCCTTCGCCCCCCTCGCCCCCCTTCTCAGCTGAAATCGCCACCACCCCCTTGTAATTGTCGGCAATTTTCGTTATTGTTAATGGCGGTTTTTGTGTGTGTTTTTTTTTTCGCAGTTTTTGTGTTTTTTGTCGCAGTTTTTGTTTTCATTTTGTAGTTTTCGGTTTTGTTATTCGCCGAAGAAATAACAAAAATGGAAGCGAAAATCTCTCATCTCGCCGACAATGGATCGGTTCGGTTCGGATCGTATCGGATCGGTTAGAGCAGGCGTCCATCGATAGCTGACGGAGCCGGGCCTCCATCTGCATATATTAAAGGTATGAATATGCACTGAGAAAAGTTAAGCTAACATTTAAGAAGTTTCTTAAGAAGCTTATTACAAGTTAGCAGGTTATAACCCATCAAAGTTTGCTAACTAAACTAGAGTTCTTAAGTAGATATACATATATGGTATATCTAATCTTATAGTTATTTTTTCTCAGTGCATTTATGTGAAATGCATATGTAACCCCGATGATTGCGTACGTTGCAATTGCGAAGGTTCCTCTCAACTCGCGAATCGCTAGTCTGACAAATTCGCACTCGCCTTTCGGAATCGCGGTAATTGCTCGACTCTCCACCTTCTTCACCTCTCATAACCATCAACTCGATCCCTTTGATCTCACCGAATCGGAATTGGAATCGGAATCCCTCATCCGCATAACTGCCTTTCAAGTGCCAGAGCTTGCCACCCCCACAAGGTTTTTGTTTTCTTTTTTTTGTACCTTAAGTGTTAATATGCATTTATGTCGAATGAGGTCAGTAAAGCTATAGTATTGGTTGAACTTTCTGCGGGAAAACCTAGAGGAAAAGTCTAAGAAATTCTTAAGTTTAGTACTTAGTGAAGTGGTTTAGATAAAGTCTAATGTTAAAGAAGAAAAATTCTTAACTAGAAAGCTAAAGTTGTTAATATAAGAAGGTATCTTAAACAAATTGGACTATTATTTATTTTTTATTATTATTATTCTTTATCTTTCTCTCAAATTTCTCTTTTGATTTCACTTAATACAAATAGAGCTTATCATATAAGCTTTCCTTTCCAAACCATTTCATTCCGCTAACCGACTATTCCATGTGAGCGGTTAACGTTCGACTGATAAGAGTTATTGCGATGCCCGGCGACCCCTATACCAGCGCCACCTCCGCCCCCTTTTGTCACCCACTAGCCCTCACCTTGGAACTTTGTGGCACACATTGTTGAAACCCCCTTCCCCCTTCGCCATCTCCTGTGGGGTGGCTCTCTCTCTCATTCTAAGAAATCTCTCTGTTTGAATCGCTCTTTCCTTTCACCCTTTCCCAAACTCCTTGGCTCTCTGCTACCTGTGTGCAACCAAAGAGAAGGAAAGAAAGATGCAGAGTGAGAGAGCGGCAGGTGCCTGGGTGGGGGATTGGGATGTGGATGGGTTAAGGCAAAGAGGGGATGGCTGACAAGGGGGGGGTTGGGGGAGGTGGAGTGTCAAACAAATGTGCGAGAGCCAATCGATGACGAACGCGCGTGTGCGACGCCACATATGTATGCGTGTGTGGTCGTTGGTGTGGCTGTGTGTGTGTGTGGGAAAATGCGTCTAAGTGTGTTTGTTTGCATGCATGTGTGTGTATATCTGTGTGTGTGTGTGTGCGTGTATGGCCAGAGCGCCAATATGTATGCTATATATAGAGAAAACTTAGGAGATCTTGAAGGACCACTTGCAAGATCATCATGATGTGGTTATAAATCCCATTGGAAAGAATTGGATTGCAAAAGTTGTTAAGTTGTCTCTTAACTCCTTTCTCTTTTAACTGACAACTAAAAGCCAAACTTAACGATCAATATTATAAAGGAGTAAGCTTATATATTACCAATTTATAGAAGTTCCCTACAAAAAAAAACAGATAATGAATGCTTCTCGATAAACAACTATATCTCCATATCTTATATCTTAAGAGCAGTGGCTAAGGGGGGGAGGACTATAAGTCAAAAAGAGAAGCTTGGACCCTACAATACTCCTTTCTACCCTTAGCCACCACCATACACCCCCTTCAACCCGCACTTCACCAAACAATTAACAACAAAAACAATTCCTACACACATACGCATACAAAAAACCACACACACACATACACTGGCGCACAATTGGAGCTCTCATATGTGAGAGTGCGCTGATTCTCATATCAAAGAGCCTGACATTAATGGCAGCAGCGATGCCGACAGCGGCAGCGACGACGGCAGAGAGCGTCCAGTTTTTTGTATTGTTTGTTTTTTTTTTTTTATTTTCTAGAGTGGGTGGAAGAGGGGGAAGAAGGGTGTTGTTTGGTGGTCCAGTGGGCAAACATGTTCGATGTTGCAGTGTGACTTGAGAGAGGGTGTGTTGAGGATGGGACCAAACGAAAAAGGGGAGGAAGGGGGGACGATCATTCATTCAGGGATGCACCTTAACCCATGGCTGATACTAGAAAATACCACCGCCAAAACAGCCCCCCACACCACCCTCATGACCTTTGAAGATCTCCGAGAGCTTGCAACGTGTTGGAAGTTGCAAGTTCGCCGGCTCGGCTGGCTAAATGCGATAAATCCGAAGCTATGGCGCTCCGTCAGACGCTTTTGGACAGTCGAATGAGGTGGATGTGCTCCAAAAAAGCGGAAAAATAATTTATGGTTTTTTATTTATAGTTTAAAAAATTGATGATTGGCAAACTTCAAGGTCTTCTCTTAGCAAAAATGTAATAGGAAATGGATTTTAGAGTCTTAAAACTATTGTGTATTTATGATTAACTTTTAAAATCAGGAAAATATTCAAAAACAATATGCGATTTTCTAGATAAATTTGAAAGAAAATGTTATAAAGTTTATTTATTTTTAAGAGAAAAGTTTTTAACAGAAAAATAAATCACTTCTTCACTTTAAGTATACGTTCTAGTCCCTAGTTACTGAGTTAAAAACATTTAACATTACGAATTTAAACTTTATTTGCAAAGAACCAACTCAGTTCAGAGGGTCTCGTCACCTACATGATCCTTTCTCGAGTTATTTTTTTTTTGTTTGATTTTTCGCGCGAAAGGTGCGCGCGCGCCTTAAACGCTTGTGGTTGTTATCCTTGTTTGGTGTGCTACCGGCGAGAGGGTTGCAAATGCTGGTTTCTCCCAAAGCAAAGCGTAGATATCTGTATGTAAATCGGAATCCGAATGCGAAACCGTCGATTGACCAGAGTGACCAGTTTGAAAGGGCGAATCGGCACCACCCCTTGTGCTTTGAATGTGTTGTCCTGCTCTAACACGTTAGCGGCTGTTTGATGTCCACCCCCACATACGCATACACATAGAGACACACGCACACACACACAGACGACGCACACATGACCGGCGGCAAATAAACAAACGCCCGGTTGCCACCCAACCAGCCAGCCAGCCAGCCAGCTAGCGAACCAACCAACCACCCACCACCGCACCACCACCCGATAAAAACACCGTTAAGAAAGGGCTGCGTTGGCGTTGACGTTAGCGTCGACGTTGCGTCGGCGTTAACGTCGACCGAAAATCAAATTGCCAGATTGGCATTAAAGTGCAAAAGCCTGAAATAAAATTGAATTATCTGCAGTCGCTCGCAGGACATCGTCGCGTTCGGACATGTTCGCCTAAAGAAGCTTCGCTCTGGAGTTGGCACACTCTCTCTGTTTAGCTCTCTCTGTCTGTCTGTCTGTCTTTCTCTCCCCGTTGTGTTGGCAAAGCTTTCGTCTCGCTTGCAACGCGTTCGTTCGTGTTCGTTCGTGTTCGCTAGCGTTCGCTTGTGTGGGTACGTTGTTGTAGTGAATGTGCTTGCGTGTGTGTGTGTGTGTGTGTGCTTTGTCGCACACTGTTTGTTGTTGCTCGCTGGACAAAAGCTGACGCTCTGCCGCAGCGACGCCAACGAGAGCAGCGGCAGCGAAGACGCGCTCGCCGCTAAAACGTCCCAAGTAGTCGCGTACTTCCGCCGTTACCGTTAGCACCACACACAAAACGGAGCTGCTAACCGCTCGCTAGACTACAAACGCCGCCAAAAACATAAAAAAAAAAAAATAAAACACCGCTTTTTACCGTTATTAGCCGTCGCGGCCATTCTAACTAACTTCGAAAAAACAACAAAAACAAATACAACAAAAAATATCAAGAAATACAAAACAAAACAAAATCAAAAATATATATATATATATATATATATATACACACTTTGTGCAATTTTTTTCAAGTGTCTCGGCGTGTGTTATCTATAAAAAAAAAGAAAAACAAAAAATTATAATAATAATATAAAATCCAATTGGTAACACATACAGCAGCCCGCAAAAAGAAAGAAAAACCAATTGGATTTCCTCTTTTCTATATACAAATGAAGCCGCGTGCGTTTGTGACAGCAAAAGCAACAACAACAACAACAGAAACAACAACAACAACAACAAAACTGCCAAACAAACAAAAAATCCTTTAAGCCGAAAGAAGAGCCCTTGCGTGGAAAAGGTTCCTATACTCTAAAAAAGATTTCAAATCGCAGATCACAAAAGTCATAAAGTAAAATAAAAACAAAGTGACAAGTGTATCATACTTACTAATACATACTTACAACATTTTTTTTTTTATCGAAAATGGCAGCCCTAGAGAAGCCCCGAAAAACCAAACTCAAGCTGTCCGATTAGAAAAAGTTCGAAAAGCTAAAGATTTCCATTAGTGAATGTGTGATTTTTTTTTTTAAAACCAAAAAACAAGACCCGTGCAATATTAATAAATATATATATATAGAGAAAGAGAGAGAGAGAAAGGTGTAGACCTAAATCGAAACAAAAAAAAAGAAAAAACAATAACTTAGAAAACTTTAAAAAAGAAACAAAGCTTTCCAATTGGAAGTTGACATCCCAGTTGGAATCGGGAGATCGGCAGGACATTGCCCTTCGCTGGGTTTGTGTGCCTGTGTCTGCGAAGTTTTGAAACACCTTCGGAAACTGGAAACAAAAATGAGAATTAAAATGCCCGCGGTTCGAATTGCACAAGGTAAGAGAGCGCGATTGTGAATTGGGGATTGTTATTGGTGGTGTGCGAGGGGGAGTTAAAAACTTTTCCAGCTGGGATATCCCAATTGGGTTGCGTTTTTTTTTTTTTTTTTATTCCGGTAAAAACAGCAAACACCTGATGGAAGTTTTTGTCAGGTGCTGATGAAATTTTTATGGACTAAAGAACGTGGGAAATGGATTATATTTTTAGGGGGCTCTTAAAACTGAGTTTTTATAACTTCATGGTGTTTACTAATAAAACGGAGTTTAGCTAGTATTAGCTAGCTAAGTTAAGTTATTTGAACTTCATTTATGTTGGCAATTTAAAGATAATTTATAAAAATCCTTAAGAGTATAAGATATTATGAGTGATTTGTCACATTTCGAGGTCACTTTCTTAGGCTAAGCTAAGTTTTTTAGTGAAAAGATAATACTAAATATTAGTTATCAATATTGGGGTCACCACATCTATCCATACATATCGCTTGCCAGACAATTAGGATGTGTTAGCCTAGCCGTATGCCATGTGGTCAGGCTATCATATCAGTAGACCATGTCACACCTCTGCCGTAAGTCCGCACCCCTCGTTTTCATCATGTGGAAGGTCTCCTTCGACTCTGTTTTTTTATTGTTGTTGTTGTTGTTTCTAGTCGAGTTATCGCTGCGATATCGCCATGCCTAAATCAGAGCCCGCCTAGGTGTGTTTGCAATGATTTTTCAGATTTCTTTTATTTTTTATTTTTTTATTTTTACTTTAGTACAATCGTTATTTAGTGGTTATATTAATTAACTTGGTCATTCTGTGGAATAATATTTGGCAAACAATTTTTGGCGATTTTTTTTGGACGCTGGTCGAGTGACGAGTCGGAAAACGGCTCAGTTCAAAGGGAAATCAGGGCCGTAAAGCCATAAAGCTTGTATAGCGGGGCCGCATTCATATGCCTTGGCCATATCATTGTCATAATATGGATTGTCCCCAGCCATAAAGTCATAACTTATTTCTTTTTTTTTTCTTTTTCGCTCGTTTTTTTCGGGGCCCGGTTGGCTTGTTTCCTTTTTTCTTTTTTGTTTTCAGTTTTTTGCACAGATTTTCCATTTGCCGAGTGAGCAAGCAGTGTTATCAATCTTATCTAGATAGCGACACCGAGCGAGTGGACAATGACGCACTTGACTCGGCCAGTTGCCCACCACTCCCACTCATATATGGGTAACTACGTTTTCTGGAACCCCTCACGATCCCAGCCATCATCCTCACATGTCGTCGTCAAACAATTTTAATTGCTAGCAAAGTTGTTTGCAGTTCTGGGGTTTTTTTTTTTATTTTTTTTTACTCTTCGTTTCGGGTCTATTTGTCTTACAAATCAAAATCAACAAAGCGGGGTGGCTCTGCCGCTGCCGCCCTTTTCGTTTTCCAGGTAATATAACGAGTATATTGTGATAAGAAGAGGCCTAATTGCTGACGATCGAAGCTTGGACTTGTTCGTTTCATTTTTTTGTTTCAGATGGGAGAGCATCGGACATGAAATGGTAGTAGGAATAGTAGTAGTAGTAGTAGGAATAGTAGTATTAGTAGTAGTAACCATCCTCATCGATATCTCTTGTCCCCAAAATTGCTGTTGTTAGACCCCCCCCCTCCTACTCTTTCGATATCCATTCTATCATAATTAATTGCTACAATTTCAATTTTCGATTTCGATTTCGATTTTACCCCAACCATACACCGCCTGTTGACATTTTTCTTGTTGTGGGAATCTTTTTGATCTCCGTAAAGAGCAACAAAAAAAGCAAAAAATAAAAAAAAAACAATATGAGTTTTACAGCATTTCGTCATGCCGCCCATGGGTGCTCTCTCGTCTTATCACGGAAACATGGGTTCAAAATGGGTGGAGGATGTGGGGACTTGGGCCTGATACAATGGGCCTGATGAGTAATTTCCGAGAACAAGTCGCAATGTTCATGTACGACAAGTTATTGAGAGTGCCTAAAATGAATGGGGAGAATGCGTAAAACAGAAGGGGGGTAGGGCGAGGGCCAATCGAAGGGGAGATCTTCAGAACTTGTCGCTCTAATTGGAGTTGGTTTTTGGACAGATCATGTTCATATATATACTAATTTACAACAATGAATCGATTGCCAATTAAAATATTCGATTAAACAATACAATTTCAGCTGTCGTCCGACAGCTATGTTAATTCCTGCATATCCTGGCTAGCCGTTGAGCTTGGGTGAACAAACTTCCTGATCGGGGGGGGCTTATGAATGGGGTTAAATTCTCTTTCTATATGGTCAGCGTTAATCGAGCGGCACGCTTTTTAGGTCTATCGATTGCACCTGCCCACGTGCCCACACTTAACCCACTGGTAAACTGTTAACCCTTAACCCTTAACCCTTAACTGACTGACCGGGGCTTTGGGTGGACATCTCATGGTCGTCCTGGCGCCTGTTCTTGTTTTTCTTGGCTCTTCTTTAGTTTTTTTTTTTAGTTTTCTTTTTATGATTTTTAGCTTTTGCTTTATTTCGTACCTTGGTTTTCTTTTAATTTGATTATCGACCAAACAGTGTCCATTAAATGAGCGACCGAGGGACGGACCGACCAGGCGACCGCTGCCTCCTTTTTTTTGTTATCCTGCTCCTGTTTGCCATGGCAACGTCCTCCTCGCGTTTTCAGTCGTTTGCAATTGTTATAACAAATAACAGAGGTGCCCCTTCCTCCACACACACACACACACAATATTCCATTCCATATACCATAAACCACCACCCACTCCCCGAGGGTGTCCTGCACCCGCAGTGTCAACGTGTCGTCATGTGGACGTCAAACTTTTGTCCAGCTGCGGCCACAGTTTTCGATGTTGGCTCCCAAAACATAGATGCGGGAAGGGGGAAGGATCTCCTTCAGGCTAAAGGCGAACTCCCCGTATTTGCGTTTAATTAAACGGCTCAAAGATATGGCTAACCGATAGGGAAAAATGTGCTTAAATCTATTGATTAAAAATAGCATTTTCAAGATTAATTCTTAAAGTTATAGTTAAGGAATATTTCAGGATTACTTTTGAGCTTTATTTTTAATAGCCTTTTCTTCTGTTTTCGTTCTGTGTAAAAGGGAAAACTGCTGCTGCATTTGAATGCTGGCGGGGGGCAAGGACATGGCGGATATAAATTGAAACTGGCCCGTTCTGGGTTGTTGCTCAGCGGGAGAGACGCCAGCGTAGCTCACATGGTCCAGACACCGGTTCTCCACTCCATCGTTCTTTAACCAATCTAACCTCCAGTTGAAAACCCATTCCTTGTGGAACAAAAAACCCCCCCTTTTTTTGCTACTGCCACTGGCAGCATAATCAGCCACAACAGCGCTCAGCGAGTTACTTCCGCTGCGGCGAGTCTGATTCTCAGACGGCGACTGAATCTAGAGCTAAAAACTCCGATCCGCGGGATTTCACTTGGTCCAAACTGTCTCTAGCTAGGTGCATCCGTTTTGGCCAGCCCTGCATGTCCTGTGTGTCCTGGGAGTAGTCCTGGTAGTCCTGCCTCTTACCCGCTTTCCATATTATTTCACTGAATTGTTTGTAGCCAGCCCCAGCCAGGCCTTTGTTTTCCACTCGCTGCACGAGTTTTGTTTCGCGTTTGTTTTTTTGTTGTTGTTTGCCGACTTTTTTAATTTTTAAAGTTTAAAGAGAATAAATGTGAAGGCTTTTTGGTATTTTTCGCTGAATTTTATTAACCAGCTTGGCTTTTCTGATTTGCTTTTTCGCATTTTACGTTTATGCAAAATCACAAAGGTGTGAAAGAAGTTCAAAAACTTAGACGAAAGTCCCAACGCCGCCTTCTTTTTCATTCATAGATAATTTCTTAATTCAAAACCTTTAAGCTAAAAAACTTCTACAAAGATTTCTTTAACAACCAACTAATGAGAAAGGCTTCTATTTATGGTAAAAATATCTTTCTTAATCATGACATTGCTATGCAAACAGCCATAGACAGCCAGTATTTACCCTAATTCACTTGCTATTAAATATTATTTGAACAGCCAACTTGGCGTATACTTAACCTCTGCCAAGAATAAACAAGCAGAAAACGAAAAAAAAACACCAACTGGGGGAATCCCAGAAAATGACCTGAAACAGAACAGCTAACAAGTTAATGAATCTTTTACTCTTTTGCCTGCGTTTTGTTTTGATGCGCATTTTCTTCGGGGGGTTTTCCTTGCTGTTTTTTTTTTCGCGTTTTCTTTTATTTTTTATATATTTTTTTTTCCCCATTTTTTTTATGACATTCCGCCCCGCACTTTGGCAAACTTTTCACTTTCAACGAACGACTGGGGATGGGGTGGTGGGGGTTTTCTGGGCAGTGCAGCAGAACTTGGCACCTTTGTCATAGTTAGAGCACCACCCCCCGCTCAATTTCCACCCCTCACAATTTGTGTCTCTGCAAACACAATTTCTTTTCCTCGCTTTTCTTTTTCTTTTTCTGTTTCTTTTCATTTTCCAGTTTTCTTTTTGTTTCTGTTTTTTTTGCCACTTTTTTTTTAACGCGTAGCCGGCGAGCAAAACAAACCGCAAAAGTGTTCGAAGGCGAACATCTGACTGTGAGTGATGATGGGTGGAGTATCCTGCCACGCCCCCAACGCCCACTGCCACCCACTTTTTAGCCCGCGCACGCGCTACAAAAATTTGCCTAGGCGCGAACGAAAATTTCAATGGGTTTTTCCATGGCTTGTTTTTATATTTTTTTGCCTTGGTTTTTTTTTGTTTACAATTTCCAGCACATCTGCTTGCCCATCCCCTTAAAGCACGTGCCAAAAGCGAACCGGAAATGCGGAAGATCCTTAGGTTAAAGGCAAAGCAGCAAAACAAAAAATGGGAAAAAAATCAAGAAATTATGATTGCGAGAGAAATAATAATTATTTTGCATAAATTAGGCCAAGATCAAATAACTCAGCTGCGCTTGAGATGGGCGGGTTTGGCAGCTCGAAGAAGAGAAGCTGTTGCAAGCGTGATTAGT